AAAAAAAAGGAAGATAAAAATCAGATCGCAATTAACTGAACACATTTCAATTATTAATATTACGTATAATTAATCATGAAAATGTTACGTTCACTATAAATTTTTTGTTTGTAGTTCAGATTTACACTAATGTCAATGCTTCTGTCCAAATTTAACAATATACAATTCCATTGTGATACTTGGTTAAAAATTTAAAAAAATTATTCTAAAGCTAAAGTTAAGTAATAGTTTTTCAAGATTAAAGGCGTTATTAAATAAAAGTTGATTAATTTAAGTCTTAAATTTCAAGAGAGGACGACGCTCAGCTTTTCTGTAATTAATCGCATTCAATTATGCGTAGGCAAACAAAACGCAGATGTCCCCTCGGGATTCGTGCGAAGAGACTCGCGAAAGGGCCGAGGAGCTAATCGCATATCTATCTCGCTCTTTGCATCATGTTAAGGCGACAGGCACCCCGAGTAATTTATTGCACCGTTTACATAATCGAAGAAACCGTTGTTGAGCGAAACATATACAGTCGCAGCGGGGTACGTGTTTTGTCGCGATTAGAGAATGCATTCTAGATGCAAAGAAGGATAGAAGGAGAGATGAGTAATTGTCGGTAGGAAAACAGTTCTTTTTCCTCCAAAAAAAGGAAAAAAAAGAAAGAAAAAATAATAATAAAACATCAAACCCACCTATTCTAACTTTTGTGCTTTGGAAAGGAGACCCACGCGGATGTACCATTCAACTATCTGCATGAATATATCTACATGCATCACACACATGCTATTCAACAAATATATTTTATCATGTTTTCTCTTGTAATACCACTGTTAGAGAGAATTTTTTTATAACATATATAGAATATTTCATAAAATTTACAACAATAGATAATAGCGTACCTCTCGAAAAATTTAAAGATAATTTTTTTAAAGTTCTTGGTTTTCCTCACAAAAAACTGAGCGCCTCGTGACCTAATTTTTCAGTATTAAAACTTGGAAGCCATAAAAATGCTCTTGTTCGGGTTCTATTAAAATCAAATCGGTATGCAATAAAATCAAGATTGAAATTATATTATCTATTTCTAAACATTTAAAAATAGACGAAATCTTACAATATTTTATCTTAAAAATGACTTTAGATGTGGTCTTCAATTTTTCGCAAGCAGCCTACTTCAAAATTCAAAATATAAGATAAAAAATTAAAGATTATAGGACTCTATACCGCGAGGGCAGCGTTTGAAAATATTTTGTACAAGTTAGAGATAAAAATTGTGGACAACAGTTAAATGTCAAACAAGCAATTCTCCGTAATATCCCGGCAGACTTGTCGTTAATGAATCTAACAAGGAACCCGTCATGTAGCTGTTACGCTGTCCGAGGTAACGAACTGTGATTGATTCGATAACGTAGAATGTGCTCTTTTAACTTCGCAAGGGCTAATTAATTTTCAAGGCAATCATATTGCACTAACCACCTCGACTGTCATAAAGAAAGTAATGCGCCTGTAAGTATTTATGAGTAACGAGACAGTTTGTGATGCAAAAGAACGAACGTTTATTTCGCTAGCGTGAAATGCTATTTGTTTTACTATAGATTGATTAATGTGCGGATTTTCGGCGGGCTCATTGGACATTTGCCGGGATTCCCATGAATTATAGACTGGGTATTCGATACGAGTGCCAAGGACATTCATCATATTTTCATACTTTCTTTGTAATATGCAAATGAACTTGATTTCGGCTTACTATCATAGATAGATAACTCTCTCTTTCTCTCTCATGTTTTCTATTCATTTCACTCCATTCTATGTTTGATTATAAAATGTGTGAAAATTTTCTCCACTTTCAACTGCGACATTTAACCTATATTTTCTACAACGACGTTTCTATAATTGCGCTACTCACGTTGCACGTATTAAAATTTCTTTTTTAATTAAATCGGAATATTTTTCATGAAACACTGCGCGATTAAAGCCGCGGTATCGGCTCGAAAAATACAGAAAGTATTACTATGATGCCGCAGAAGAATAAATAATGGACGCGCGATTTAAAGAGACGTTAATAAATGGACGGTGGTGTAAATATTGGGTTAAAGTCGGCCGTGTCGAATTCGATTTCTCGAATCTGTAACACACCACGCGGATTGCATTTAAAATTGATAGCCCCCGATCAACGACGCCGCCTCCTACAATTGAATCTTCTGATAAATTCCCCATCTATCCCGACGCAACTTCAGCGGCGCCGGCTGCCACACATACGCAACATCTCCCGTACACCAGAACACCCGAGTCAAATAATTTCTCGAATTGTAATGTCGCCGATAAATCAATCGCCGTCGTTCCCCGCCTGCGACGCAATTGTCTTTGACAATCGTATTCGCGTGCTACACGTCGATTTGAGAGCGACAACTCTCCGCTGATACAGCGCGGAGAACCACTTATTTATACACATCTTGTCGATTTTTCTTCTCGCGGTCTAAGCTTTCGTTCACTCACGTAATAACTCTCGCAAGCAACTGCGCGAAATAAAACGACGGATCGCGCGAATCATCGAGCAGCGAGTAACAATAAGTTCCGTAATTAAAATATATATTGAAAAGTGCTGGAGTTAGAGTTTAGTAGATCTCATTGTCAGTATGAAATTACGATTCTTACAAGCACCGTACAATTTATCATTCATGTTGAAGAAAATAAATTTACAGTGATAGTTATTAATTACTCGGCGTTGAGAATAATTAATAACGTTTTACTACAAATGGAATAAAAGAGGATCGGCAAGGATCCAAAGCAGATTTGCGCACTGTGAGCTATTTTCGAAAATAACTCGCGATACCCAATAAACGCATAGGATGACCGTTCAATATTTAAATGTTTAGCTTGACTTTCCGAGTTTCGGGCTTTATCGTGAATCGAAAAGCCAACGAAAAAAAAGAGCATAGCTCGAGCGCGTTACAATACTGTTGTCCATTCTCGCGCGCAGCTGAAAACACTCTCTCACTCTCTCCCTCTCTTCTCTCATCGCGTTAAAATTCCGAGGACCGGTAGTTGCTCTTTGTATCCGATATATATCGAGAGCGCACCACAGGATGCAACCGGGAGAAGCCCAGAAAGAGGTGCGCGCAAGGTGGTACAATATAAAATCAACCGTTCATTTAAATATAAACGAGCCGCGTTGGACAAATACGTTTCGTCGGACCGATGAACACGTTATCCCCCGCGCCTCTAATTCACGATCTCCCTCTCCCGTACGCGCCAAGGCGACGATACAATGCCGAGGCATCATGCATGGTATAAGCCGTATTTACATATCTTGATACATACACATGAGAAAAATCGATGGCGGGCCACGATGGCCAATCAGAAAGCGGAAGGCAGGCCCTACGCACGGACGGTCTACGTGTACGCGGCCGACGCTCCGAGACGAATATATGTGCATATATAGGGTGTCCCGGACCTATCGAAAAGTATTCTAAAAAAGATGGAAATATAAGATGGGAGAGAGATATTCCGGAGAGACAACGAAGAATGATAGTGGCTCTTCTCAAAGAAATATAAAAGTCTTGGACGAATGTTGGTTAATGTAATTTGTGTGTGCGTGTGTGTGTGTGTGTATCATGGAAACGCGCGTCGGGAAATTCAAATTAGCAGAAGTCTCTCCATAAAATAAAATATCTAATTTTATGAATCGAAGATAGAATCGGTATCTCATATTTCTCCTATCCGCTTTACGATATACTCTTTGACTTTTTTCTAATATCGAGAGATGTCCTCATTTATCGGACCTATCCAATTTTCAGATTTCGATTCCTTGGCAAACAGACGAATAGAGCCATGGAGCTTGGATTTAATCCAGATGCAATTTTTTCATTGCTTTAGGCAATGTTAAATGTCTTCTTATTAAGTTTTAAATTAAAATTGCGTTAAAATCTGCTTAAAATTACACGAGAAATTAAATTTCCCTATTATAGAAACAGTCCATTACTTTTAATCCCGCGATGCCGAGGAAATATAAAGGAAAGCTTAATATCGCACTGATCAAATGCTCTGAATGCAGCCGGGACACCTTATACATGCAGTCGACCGACCACCTCACTCGCGTTACGGGCCTATTCAGCGCGCGTTAGACAGTTCGTCGAAAAAGGCACCTACTTAAGTCCACCCCCTTCCTTTTTTTCACTTCCCCCGGCAACTTTTATCGGCTTCTGTCGTCGTACAAAACCGTGAATTCCCCTCGTGTTTCATTCAGAGGAATAACGAATCGCTTGTTTCTAAGAAAAGCGATACGCGCGCGGAAGGAAGAGGGGAAACGGAGACCAACGCTTATCGTAAACGACCAATTTTATTCTCGCCACGAGAGCTATTCGTCGTGCAAAGACGACGTAAAGACGTCTAGACATTATTATTTAGGAGGGAATCGGACCGCGACGAGAGCTTGCGGCTATCCCGCGGGAGACAACCGATAGAAGGGACGAGTGCATCGTAGAGTTGGCTATCGATACTTAACACTGCGAATAACCACCGATTATCGCCCACCATCGAAGTCGAAACATCGATGTTAATCCTTGATACTGGAATAGTTTGACTTCGCAATTTCCAAGTTTATCTAAACGGTCGACGCGTTTCACGCACCATTTTAAAGTTATAATGTTCTAACCAAACTCGTAATGTTAAATAATAATCGAGCAAGTATAATTAAATTAACATTCCACATTAATTAAATAGATAAAAGTGGTGAATATCGCTAAGAAAAACATAAAATTTCACGGCATCAATAAAAATATTGCAATTTTTTTGGCACTTTCGCAGTTATTTTCTTGTATTTAATATTTTATCAATATATTTTGAAAAAGCAATTCCAATCCACATAGTTTGTAGCATTTATATTATTATGTTTCTGTCCGTATATAAATAATAAAAAGCTTTTAGGAAAGAAACTATCGCGCGAATAATTCTTTTTTGCAGTTGCAATATTTTTCATTACGCCACCAAACACAGAAAATGAAAAAGTTAATACGAACCGAAGCGGTGAAAAGTGAATATCCGAGTCCACGCCAGAGAGGCAATACCTGAAACAGAAATATTACATTAAATTAAAATAAAAAAAATTACAAAATTAAAATGCAAACGCGCAAATTTGTGCATCCGACTCAATAATAAGGCAGCACGAACGCTGAAAGCGTTCTTTTCATGCGAAACGGGCGTTTAGTGCGAAACGGGAACGTTATCCTAATGGATGATAAACCACCGGTATCTATCCCCAGCTGCTATTTGACTATCCATTTTTCTCCATCATACCCGGCTCTTAGCCGATAATATCACAGGGCGTAGCACCCGCCGTGTCTCATCCGAGCGCCGAGCATTGATTCGCCGTTTTCGAAATATCGATGCTCGACGGAAGGACCACCTATCCCCGGCGTATCGTTCGTCGGCGTATCGTTAAGGAAATGATAGTTCCCGGCGCGAATCGGCGGGAAAAATGGAACAGCAGGTGCCCCGCGCCAGCCACGCAGGCAATCTGTCAGTAGGTGGGTCCGTGTAATCGCGCAGCGCCCGAGACTCTTATGAATGTATGCGTTGCGTGTGCTGCCACGGAGGAGCGTTCCCCGGACGATCTAAAACTTTCCCTCCCAGCGGCGTAATTAGAGGACGTGGGGAATGCAAAACTGGCCACGTTTGCCGACGTCGATGTGTGTAACATTCATTAATTTGCTAGACCCGTATAATTTTTCATTCAAATTAGAATCATACTGGATATCTTTACGTACACATAATTTATTAGGTCCATATAATTTTTCATTCAAATTGAAATTATACTGACACCTCTGCGCACGAAAAAGAGATGCAAACGCATGTTCATGAATATCTATAAGAGAGGAGGCACGGTAGAGCGAGATGCGATTTATCCTTTCGCTATTAAATTATTTGAAAATCTTCGTTGTATGACGTTTCCAAGCGTTTAAACGTTAACGACGTGTTACGGTTGAAGTAATAGTGATTCTTAATTGCGCGCCGATTTTTCAGCGAGTAAATTTAGAGCAGAAAACAAGAGGAGAATGCTGTAGAAGGGAATTCTGCATAAGGAGTTAAATGCTAAACATGCTTCGAGCGTACAGCCACTTAGTTACACGCCGCTGTTTCCCCTCCATCCCACCTCTTCGCGTGCGGATTAGAGTGCGCTAGGCGGACCCTGTTATTTTTTTCTGTTCGTCACGCTAAAAAACGAGGGCTCTCGAGCAAGACGCGTATAAATTTCGGCCTAATTTTCAAGGATCTCGCTCGGAGACTTATGATCATGTAAATCCCCGCGCGATCGTTCGTGCTCGAAGGTCGGCCGTTTGTTAACGAAGATTTTTCTCGTCTCGCCGCGCGAAACAAATCATGTGTGGCGGGCATTGTGCGCGGTGTGATGCAGGATGTCAAAAAAAAAGATCTGTGTCGGCATCTTTTCCACACGTCGGTTGGGCTTGGATGGAACAATCGGTTTTTCCAGGGAAATCCTTGACACCGATAGTGAGCTGCTTTGCACATTCCGAAATCGACAATGGGTCGTTCTAAGTTCTCTGCGGCATGGAAATCCGTAGTTTTGTGGTAAAGCCGCTTAAAATTCTTCCTCAAACTGATATATACACATATACAAGCGCGGGAAAAAAAAACCTCACCACTGCACTTCAAGTCTATGAATTATTCATGATTGTTATAAAAAACGCGAAGTACTCGCCTCTTCCGTAAAATTCGTTAAATAAATAATATCCGCGAGATGAATAGAGGTCCATGAAATGTAAAAGCATAACGTGAAATATTTATTTTTCTTCGTAACAAACAATTGGCGTAAGAGAGAGGTAAAATGATGACTAAAAGCGGCTTTATTTTACAACAATCAATATTATTTCGCGAGTTGAATCAACTGCAAGTTTTCATTTTAATGAAAAAAAAATCGAAATAAACACCATTCGCGACATTTCCATTTGTATGATATTAACACAGTAATGGTGTATTCTTAAATGAAAAACTCTCTCTTCCCCCCCCCTCCCTCTCTCTCTCTCTCTCTTCTCTCTCTCTCTCTCTCTCTCTCTCTCTCTCTCTCTAAAATTGTCCAGAATAACAAGCACAGTAAATTTCTCTTATTCCGTTGGAAAATCTTATCTCTAAGTAAATATTTTGCCTTTTCAAGTGCATCGTACGCATTCTCACATTTTACGCCAAGTAAATTTCAAATATCTTCAGCTGAACAAGTTTTTCACAAATCAAATATATTAATCATAAATTCTTCCAAACTGATTTTACATCAATATTCTAGATATTGCTAGAGAATAAGTCGGCAAACCTTGATAACGAATTTTATTCACCTTGAGAATGAAGAAAGATCGTATAATTGTAAATATGGAAGCGCAGTCTTTCCGAGTTACGCTTCTTATTTGCAGCTGAATTTTGCAAGAACTCTTGTGCAATTCATAAAAACTTGATTTTAAGAGATGATCATTATTCTTCCTTTCGCAATAAAAAAACAACGAGAGTTTTGCAACCACATACGCCTCATATCAACATCTTACAGATTTGAATGAATAATTTGCTCATTTATTTATTTATTTATTACTACGAAGCAAAGTTGATATATCGGATTACAGCAAGCGCTGTTTATACAGAGAAAATGATAATGGCGTTTGTATTCCTAACTTTGCCTTTATTTACGCGAAACGCTCTACCGCGGATGAAATGTTGAACTCGAGAAGAGATAGTTTTCAAACCTACTTGACCCTTATATTTCAAATAGAATACAATTCCAAAAGCTCGACAATTTATTTTAGAAACTCTCCATATATATCGACAGAGGACATTCGTCATTTTACCTCCAATTTCTAAACGTGACATTAATAATTATGAAAATTATAATCATTATGTAAATAATTCATCAATCGCATAAATAATATTAAGCGTAATTAGTAATATATTACATATATTATCTGCAATAATATATATTGAATAAATATCGGCTATTAGCAAATGCGTATTCTCGTATAACGGATTGATTCGAGACGGTCTTACAAAATCGACAATTGTTTTTGCAATGTCGAGCGCGTTGGGGTCTTTCGAATGGCAAAAAGGAAATCATCGTTGCGACTCGAGTCCCCCGCCTTTATCGCTCGATCGAGGAACGGCATTTATGATCGTGTATGACCGCTATTATTGCGGTCTGCTGTCCGGCAACCGTGACGCATATCTACACGCGCGTAACGATCGTAGGAGACTTCCGGAAAAGAAAGAAAACTCGGGCAGCGTAATAATCCCGTTGGAGACTCCGAACTACGCGCGCAATTACGGTAATGCGGCGCAAAGACAGACGGGAAAGAGACAAGGAAGGAGAAAAATAAGTTCGTTATTTCAGCGCGAGTGTAACGTTAAAATAACGTGTACGGATAGTTTTAAGAGAAATAAAGGAAACGAAACACCGAGAGCACGATAAAAATACATAAAATATAATACGATTGACACTTCTTAACAACGGTTTCCGGATTAAAAGTTTCTCTTAATGTTCCATTTTTTCAGCTTAAATACAATATTTTAATTATTTTAATGGCCATGAGAATCAATGCACAAAGTTGTCCGAGTAATTGCTCTACTGTTTTCCGCCGTACAGGAGCTAACAATCCTTTTTAGATTAAAAAGGAGGAAAAGGATGAACGAGCAAAAACATTTTTCTTTTGAACAAAATTTCTCGCGGAAACGGCCAACCGACGTGCAAATTGAGATGTGAAAAATGTAAGTGACAGGCTTAGCTGGCTGTTCGTCGCTCTTCTGCTTCCGGTGCGCACACGTGTTTGTGAAATTCTTTCGCTTTCCTCGCGTCTCTCGCTTGCTCGCGCGCGCGCGCGCGCGTGCGACCGTGAAAAAGAAAGGACAAGTACAGCGCGTGCGAGCGCGACACACTCCTTCCGCTCGAGAGCTCCCGGGGCGGCTCGATGCTCTTCTCACGAGTGAACTGTTGCAGCAGCTGAATATTACATCGCGCGCCGGCACGATGTACACGCAATTGGACGTCAAGTTTCCTTCACGTACGCACACGTTTACAGCGTTCATGTCGAGCGTTATCCCGAGGCATAACTTATATGCGCTCGCGCGCACCTCGGCGCCTAGCGCTGAGCACAACAAACTTACGAGCAGCTAATGTTTGCGTAGTCGCGGGAATTAAGGATGCGCTCCGCACCCCGTTCCATTCCCCGCCCCCCCTCCGCCCTTTATGCGGCGCATAGCCGAGAGAGCGTCGCGGAGCCGAGGTCGCATGGGCGGCCCCCCCGGTGTGTTTATGCTCGATATTACGGAAGTTATGTCGTAATAGCGCTTTAGTTTTATACCATCCACACACCGTGCGTTATCTCTCCTTCTCATCCTCGTTCTCCTGCCCTCCTCGTCGCCCCGGTTTCTCGCCGTCACTCTTCCCCGCGTCATTTTACGGAGCGATAAAATTACCAAGTCGAGTGACCACTCACTTTGACGACCATCTCTCTCTCCTCCGTGGACACGTGGACGTATATATTTACGACTGCGAGATAACGTCGGGCGGGCCGTGAATCCGCCGCTGCGAAATAATCATTTTCGTCTCGTCGTTTTTATTGTGAGCCGGCGCGCCGACTGTCGGCGGATCGACATGCGGCGGGGTAGAGCTTTCCAAACCGCGATTGCCAATTTTTTGATTGTCGCGCGCGCTCACAAAGGGAGGTACTAGCTGTCGCTGATGACAGATACTGTTCAATCGGAAGGGCGGAAATATTTCTGTACGAAGAAGTCGAAATGTGTCGGTTTGAAGTGGAGTGTTTTGCGCCGATCAATCTCGGGAATTTGTTCATCAAAATGGTTGTTTCGAAATGGCCGCGTTACTGTTTATTCGACTTCGCAAAATGGCACGTCCGATTGGACGTTGTTATACAAAAATATCATGCAGTAGCAGTTTTAATTAATTTAAGTCTAAAATACCGAGTCGCGCGTTGTTGATCCAATTATGCCTACGATTCGTTTTAACGAATATTGCGGATTATCATATTTTTGCATAACATTGTTAAAAATTTGAGCA